ACAGTGTGTTGTCTCGAGCAATATTTTGATTGACAGTAAAAGATTCCTTTTTGCTGAACTACGGTCCAAAATGTAAAATGTATGTTATAATGTTCTTTTTCTATTTGAGATTATTATTATTTGGGACTCAATATTCACTTACAGGGTATTATTTTGTCAATTAAGGTAGCTTACATACAGCGTTAAACAATATATGAGTTTTATACATAAACCTCATGATTTTTCATTAGCTATTACTTTAATTAATTATTACAATAATTATCATTGTTCTGAAATAAATATATAAAAGTAAATAAAATAATTGTGATTCTGGTTCATAATAACATAAACAATTATTTGAACCCTGCTATTGAATTTTAATTCCAAGCGCTGTTAATTAAGCATATTTCACCCAAGTTAATGTTCCCTGATTTAGAGTATAACCCTGGTTGCTAAGGTCCTTTGCATACTCAAGAATAGCCTTCTTGGTATTGTCTGCCATGATTATTACCCCATCATTGTTTGTCATGGCATGCTGATGGCTGTCTATAATGGCACACAGGTCATTGCTCTTGACTAGAAACCCTACAGATTTGTGACAACCTATAATTACACCATAATGGTCTACAGTTGAGGAATGAACTTCTCCAATGATGTGGTCCACTAAATCACTGTAATCACTAGCACTAGTGAATCCAACCATCTGATTTGCTGACTGTACATGAAAGTCATTCCCTACTGCATTGACAACATCCTCTACATCTAGATACACAGCTGTGTCGATCACTATACAATTCATCATAAACTGCATTACCATCACAAATGGCATTAACAAATGAATCTGCCCAAATATTTGGGAGCNGCAACTCTGACACCTAAGCAGTGGAAAGGAGCCTGTGTACTCCATTTATTAACAATCATTGAAATTGTTTTGCCACTTTGATCACATTTACACGTGACACTGTTTTTATAATATTAAGAGTCGAGGAAACCACATCAGCCTTTACACACCTGCATTATCTTTGCTGGTCTTACATTTAGACGGGTCCAGTTATCTCTGTAGACATGTGCATACTTTAATCCTGGGACCTTACGGCTCAAACCATTTTCTGCTCGTTCAAGATCCTCTGCAAACACCTTTTGAATTGTTTGCCAACCAAACCGGTGGTTGTTCCGCATAAAGTCTTTTGCACCTTGTGGCCTTGAGCTGTAAAGAGCAGCTATCATGTTCTTCAGCTACAGATGTTAAGAACAGAAAGCAATATGCAAACATGTCCAATTTAAACTATATTACTACTTTAAGTCAGAATGGAAAAAATTTAAGCTGTATTTTATTGAGATGTAATTCTGCTGAATGATAAATATCAACATTACGAACAACATAACAGTTCACATTACAGAGAAAATAAAACTTTTGTAACTGACAGTCTTTTAATTTAATTTCAGTAACCTTTTGAAAGTGATATTAAAGTTACAGCAAAAATCAGAACTCTGATGTGGCATTCAATTATGTAGTTTTATTCAGTGACTCCCAAGAATTAATGGCATTTCATTTCCCCTTACACGACCAATACAATAATATCAAATATCAAGTTAAGGTAGCTAAATAGACCAATTTCGATATATTAAAATTCAGCCTAACACAATAGACCTCAGGACGAGGCTCTGGGGAATA